CGACTCAGGTTTTGTTGCCTGTCTCTACACCCTCTGCCCTGGTGTCTCCTTCGCCTCTGCAGCAGCAGACGCCGCCACCGTCGTCGGCGCCGTCGCCGTAGCAGCAGTCGCAACTGCAGGGGTCTGGGGGTGCTGGGGGTGCGGGTGTTGGGGTGGGTGCTCTTTCTGGGGGGTGCTAGTCCTGGGATTACTATCGTGGCTCATCCTGGCAGTCCTGGTGGTGGCACGGGTGCTGGAGAGGGTTCTCATTCTAATGGTGCTCGTCCTGGAGGTGCTGTCGTGATTGGTCCTGGAGGTCGCAATGGTGCAGCTGGAGGTTCTGGTGTGGGTGCGAAGCAGCAGCAATAGCTGCAGTCGCCGCCGGTGTCCGCCCTGCGCCTCCTAAATCTTCCCTCCCCCGACCGCTCTCCCGCGCCTCCCCCACTACAGCCTTCGCTGCCTGTCTACGACCCTGTGTTTCCTCCGCCGAACTCTTCCCCGGCTCGTATTCCCTCTCGTTCTCCTCTTGTGTCTCCTCCTGTGTCTCCTAAGCCGACGCCTCCGTTCCACTTCTGGTCTTGCCATCCCTCTCGTGCTCATCCTGTCTCCCCGGTTCAGCGTTCTCACCCTATGTTGCTCAGTTCTCACGCGTCTCATGCTCCTCTTCTCCCGTTGCCTCTTCAGTCATCCCTGGTTGTCTCTCCGCCTTCTCTCTCTGACTTTGTTTTTGCTGCTCGTCCTCTTGTCCCTCGGGTCCTCGCCTCTCTTGTTACCCACCCGTCCGTTCCTGTCTCCAGTCTTGACGCTCGTGTCGTCGTCGTTACTGACTTTGCCTCTATTCGCCGCCTTAACTACGCTACTACTTTGGTCTCCAACCCAGCCCGTCCTCCGTCCGTCGTGGTGCACCTGCCCTTGGCAGTGACGTTCTAGAGGATAGGCAGTACGAACTAACTTTCTTGTCCGAGGCTGCTCCTCGTCTTTGCTTCATATTGCTATTCCGTGAGGATGACCTAAACGCCCTTGATATCCTAACCCCTCGCACTTACGCTGAAGCGACCTCGGGACCCTGAGCTTCTAAGTGGATAGCTGCCATGGACGAAGAGATGGCATCTTGGAGATCCACCGGCACCTACGTCGACGCAGTTTCCCCAACAACGGTGAACGTAGTCAATGGCCGGTGGCTCTTCCAAGTGAAGCGCCCTCCTGGAGAGCCGCCAGTGTTCAAGACGCGCTACATTGGTAGAGGATTTAGTCAGCGCGAGGGTGTTGACTTCTTTCAGACCTTCGTCCCGACCTAAAAAAGTATCACTCTATGGAGACTGCTTCATATAGCAGCACAGCGCGACTATGAGCTGCACTCTCTCGACTTCTCCACAGCTCTTCTCCAGGGCAGTCTGCACGAGTAGGTCTACCTACGTCGACCACCATGCTTCTCTGGATCTTTCCCTCCTGGGACCGAATGGCTCCTCCGACGCCCGGCTTATGGTCTGTATCAGGCTCCCCTCAAGTGGCATGACACGTTGCGTGCTACGTTAGTAGATCTGCAGCTCTTCACGTCCTCTGCTGACCCTTCGCTTTTCGTTCGCTCAGGCCAAACTCCGTTCTACATCCTAGTCCACGTAGACCATCTGGTTTTCGCTACTACAGATAGAGGCGAACTGGCCTCAGTGAAGGCCGAGCTGCTGAGGAGACCCTCTCCATCACTTTGATATGACCGCCTCCCTCCGGATAACCCATTTTTGTGGTCTCGAAGTCAATTATTCACTTGATGTTATCCATCTCTCGACCTCAAAGTGTGCCAAGGCACTCGCCAAGAAGTTTGACATCGCCCGGATCGTTATTTCTAATCTCTACCACGTGCCCTTAACCCTGGTGTTCTTAGTAGTAGCCCGAATGCCTTTAGTTTGTTGTCATCACATACTTGACAAATATTATACATCTTCAACCAGCTCGCCCAACACGCTAGACGAGCTGAAGTGGCGAACCTACTCAACCTACATCGCTCATCGCAATAGTCCATCTTAATGCCTAGCATCGGACTCACCTACTCTACTATGCCTAGCACTTATTTGTGGCTCGCAGGGTATATCTGTTAAATTATATATTTTATATATACAAGTGTAGGCTTGGTAGGTGTTACTGGATCCTACTGTAGAGGGTACAACCCCCATTTTTGTATCCCCCTCTATTCTATTCAACTCACTTCTCTCTTATCAAATTTCTCCTTCCAAAACCTCACGTCATTCATGGCTCCTACTCCTACATAGAATTCTAGTATTCTAACAATGTCGACAAAGATAACGCAACAGATCCCAACAGCAGACGATCCAAAACAGCTTTCTTTTCCGCCTCTAACCTACCAAACATTTTCTAACAATTTTAGAAACATGAATAATTGAATGAAGGTAAAGTGAGAGTACACACAAATATATCTAAGTTTTGTATCCTCTAAGAGGTGACTCTATATAGTCTATACAAACATGACAAATACACATGTTTGACACTTACGACCCTCTCCTCAATAGTTTCATAGTTTATTATCACGATTACCTACAACTGCTGGCAAAGGCGAAAATCACAATGTACAAATTCCTCAAGTTATACGATGATGCGTTGAGCGTTATGAAAATCGTCGGCAAGCCAGGTTTCTTCAAATGCACCAAACACTTCTCCATATTCCATATGTTACTTTGATAGCACTTCATAAAGTTAAATATGCAATGCATATTTGGCTTATTATATAAGTAAAGCATTATAATATTAGTCGCCCTCTTCATGCATTGTTGTATTGGTTTAGCGGGCTTGTTTTATTATCATGTTTGATTTATCAGTTTTGTACGGTAATTTAAGCATCGATGAGTTAAACAAGGTGCTGCTATATGCAATAAATGTTTTGCTGAAACTATTTACTTAGAATGCATATCTTAGGACCTTTTTTTTTGCGACTAAGCGCTGGGGACTTCAAAGGCGTAATGGAGTTTACTCGGATCCGACCAAACAATTCCGCATTTTCTCTTATCATCCCCCGTGTTGAGTGACCACCAGGAGGGACTGGTGACGTTAGTTGTGGAAACGGATGTCACAGCACCGATTTGTAAACTATACGCACCATTACAGAAATGCATAGAAACACATTGTACCTACGACGGTTGTCCGCAGATGCCATCGAAGCCCCAATACGATCTGGACGCGTGAGCACCACCATAGCTTTTGCCCTGAGCACCTGAGATGCGTCAGCAGACGTGAGTAGCGACAAGAACCACCTGAGCACAATGAACGGCCTGAGATAACCTTACCGACCGACCGCCGTGAGCAAGAACGTTTGGGCAAGCAAATTTCTGGTCTGAAAACCCTCGGCGCATTGAACAGAATTTGATCTAGAGGGTAACAAACTCATCGACGAGAAAGTATTGGGGGCTCCTCAGTAACTTTTCTATGGAGAGGGAGCAACCCGTAACTATTTCAAAGTGTTAGCCATGAGGAGGTGTGTATAGCACTTCGGCGGAAGGTCAAAGGAACAACATTCTGGTTCGGGTCGGAGTCACTTGTTATTTAAGGACGTCTACATCGAATATCACATTGGGGCTACCAGAAAACCTTGTGTCGAAAGAAACTGGAGCGTCACAGTGTCGGTGGAATGAGGAAACGAATGAAATGGTGCGAAGTGTACAGTACGCTGTACGGCATGGCAATGAAGTGGTTGGTTATGTATGGGAGAGTGAGTGATGGTGCTTGGCCAGGCATGCGAGGCGCGACGAAAGCCTATCGTTGGCATGGGAAGGGAACTGAACTGTGTTCCTTGACACCATGCCACTGCCAAAGCCAGCTTTAGAGCGTGTCCAAAGTGTTATTTTTGCGATGGTGGACAGAACGGATGACAGTGGGTGCCAAGCCGTTGGGCGCGTCCAAAGTGCTGTACAGAGACCTTGGCTGAACGGATGACAAACGGATGACAGGCTACAGGCAAAAAAACCGGAACAGCCTGGTCGGGCAGGATAACGGGACATTGCACGCCAAAATCTTCAGTCAATTTTGGCGTCACACGCACAAAGTCACGCGTTACGAAATTCACGAAGGTAGCACATGCATGCGAAATTTTGCAGGGCCGACGACTCTTCAACATTGTCACAAATTGATTTCGTTAATGCCACATTCAGCTGCCTGTTTCTAGGCTGACGAAAATCACGAGGTAGGGCTCGCGAAAGCGTAACATTTGAGTTTTTTTTTTTTTTTTTAAATTTGAATTGTCTACCCATAGCCGCCAGTAATCGGCACGTGTGACTATGCTACAGTGGGTGCTTCGACTGTTGGCGTCCAAAGTGCAATCCTGCAGTTTCAGTCATCCGCGGATGACAGCTGTTGTCCGCTGTGATCTGTTGGATGACAGAACGGCTGACAAATAGCGCTTTAGACACGCTCTCAGAGTGCCCTTCTTCCCCTACTGTCGGCATGTTTGGGATGGAGGTTCTCCCTACACAGCGACATTTCCTTGCAGTACTGTACAGACAGACAGAACCAAGGCCATGGCCTCACGCGAAACCTGCCTTGTGTACAGAACTGTACGGGGGGAGTCCGCGCGCACGGGACGACGCAGATGGAGAGTTTTGACCATCCGTGAAGTCGATTTGGGGGCACCCTGCCCTGTCCTGCTGTTATAGTATCCACCCTACTTAAAAAGTTCTTTCGAGGGTAGTCTTGCCGAGTTTCAAAAATATTGGGAGCCAAATATTTGTCACACATTTTTCCAACTTGCGTGGTCACCACCGAAGCAGAATGCCTGATTGATCAGTACTCATCATTGTCTGTAGCGAGGGCCAGTTTTATATAAGTAAGTCTAGTTGCAGTCCGTCAATAATTAGATTTTGGGCTTAGGGTGATTCTAGAGGAACATTCTGGAGGTGTGATCGTTGCGGCATAGGCGAGCGCTCACTTGCCTCCCCAGTGTCACTGATCTGCAGCAACCCATTACCAGGCGTTTCGTTGCCCTCCGTTCATCCCCTGTCAGCCCAGCCTCAGTCCCCCACCGCGCAACTGTCCCAGCAATTGTCAGTGCTGATCTGTTGCCGCAGATTCAGTCACTTCATGACACCATTGTTTGTGTAGCAGTTGACTGTCGGACGATCTTCCTAGGGTGAAACAACGACAACCCGCACAGTAGTAGTCGGGAAAAACGCCTCGTCTCTAGCAGCTGGCTACTAGATCACACGCAGCGCAGTTAGTCGCGTCGCCATGACCGCCTCGCTCGAGAGGCCCTGTCGCACCACCATCGGGTTGCTTCGAGCGCGCGTGGCGGTGCTTCTCGTCGCGCTTCTCCTAACCGCGGCTTTCCCGCCCGCCACTAGCATGATCGGCGCCTCCCAGGGTAGGTCGCCGCGTCTTACGCGACAGTAGTTCGCTTCTTCGTAGTTCTGCTCAATGGCTGGTAGCGAACGAAGCGACAGCTTCCCCCAGGTCTCCGACCCGAGGAGAGATCACAACGCGGGGCGAGTATGATGCCGGGTTATACGCCGGCACCTTGTGCTAGGCAAGGCGGAAAAGGCGCTTAAAGTGCCCCTCTCCTCCTCCTCCTCCTCCTCCTCCTTTGTCGTTCCCCGTCCCGCATTCCCCTTTTCCCCCTTTTCCCGATTTTCCCCCTTCTCCGTCTTGTCTCCACAGAGAGCGCTGGCGTGTCGCCTTCCGTGTACATCGTCACTCTGCGATCCGCGCAGCCCGTGCTCTCCTACCGCGGGGGCATCCCCGGAATTCCCCCCACGGCGCCCCCCCTGCTCTCCAGCGCGGTCAAGGCTGCGCGCAACGGCATGCGGAACTTCTTCCGCAGCCGCCATTTCCGCCCCCGCCCGCAGCTGCGCACGAGCGCGGCGCAGAAGCTTAGCGCGTTCTTGCGGCAGCAGCAGCGCTATGTCGCGGAATCCGTGGGGGTTTCGCGGAAGAACATCCTGCACAGGTACTATCTCGCGCGCGCATTGCTACCGCGTGTTCGCAGGTGCTTTCCCCTAGGCTATATCTGTGAGAAGGAGGACCCCTATCTCAGGGTAGCGCTTTCCGCCTCCCCGTTCGCTGCCCAGCCGCCGCCTTTTCCGCCGTTGCCTCCTTACGCCTCTCTCACCTCCTTCCGCTTCTCCCTCCATCTCTGCACCCTCCGCATTCCCCCCTTGTTTTACTCTTTCCCTGTGCGTCCCCCTCCCCACCCCACTCAGCTATCGTTATCTCCGCCACGGCTTCGCGGCGCGGCTATCCCCGACGCAGGCGCGGCGGCTGGCGCGGCACCCCGCCGTGGCGCGAGTGCGCGCGAGCGTGCGGCTCTACCCCGCCACCACGCACTCGCCCGCCTTCCTCAAACTCCCCGCGTCGCTTTGGAACGCGTCGGGGGGCGCGGAGGGGGAGGGCGCGGGGGAGGGGGTGGTGATAGGCGTGATTGACAGCGGCATATGGCCCGAGCACCCGTCGTTCAGCAATGTACGCAAGCGTGAATTATTCTGGTGCCAGAGGATGCGAGGCAGAGGAGTCTAGATCCTATGAGCGAGTCTTGGATGCACAAGTTTCTTGGCGCGGCGTCAACTCGGACTCGCACCTAGAATTTAGCTGATCTGAGCACCATTGTGGTGCGATACGGTGCGATGCTAGCGCGATACGAGTTACGACCCACACAGTCGTGTCATCCTCGGTCCCTCGTTGCCTTCGTCGTCATCCCCCCCACTCCCCCTCTCCTTCCCCCACTGGCTACTCACCCAGACCTCCCCTCAACCCGTTCGCGCCCCCTTTCCTTTCCCGTCTTCCCCCTGCCGCTCCTCCCCTTCCCCTCCCGCTTCCGCTTCCGCCTCTTCCAGCCTGCGCGCACGTTCGGCGGCCCTCCGCCGGGGTGGGCGGGGACGTGCGAGGACACGGGGGACTTCGAGGCGGCATCGGCGTGCGGGGAGAAGATCGTGGGCGCGCGCTCGTTCTGGGGCGCGGTGGCGCAGAGCGAGGGGGAGATCGACCTCACCTCGGACTTCATGTCCCCCCGCGACTCCAAGGGACACGGCTCCTGGTGCGCCGGGTAAGCCTTGCGCGGGCGGGCGGGCGGAGATCGTATGCGCGGAAGATGCGCGGCAAAAACGGTTGAGTTGTGCGGGAGGGGCAGGAATCATCGTGGCGGGGGTGTCATCCTGTCCAACCTTCCTCTTCCCACGTACATCCCAAACGCCTCTAACCCATCACCCACCGCCCTTCTCCCCCCCACCCCTCCTCTCTCCCACCAGAGCGGCGGCGGGCAACGGCGGCGTGCAGGTGACGGCGTCCAACGGGCAGAGCCTGGGCCTGGCGAGCGGCATGGCGCCGCGCGCGCGCCTCGCGGTGTACAAGGTGCTGTGGCGGCTGACGGGCGGCGAGGATGTGGCGGCGCTGGCGGACGTGCAGGCGGCGGTGGAGCAGGCCGTATTGGACGGTGTGGATGTAATCTCCATCTCGCTCGCGGGGATCTACGAGAACAGCGATTACTTCGACGATGTGGATTACTTGAACGCGATCAAGGTGCGGCTCGGAGGACTTGGAGGCCTGGCGCGGTTCTGCCCTGCTCCGAGTTGTGCTCTGCTCTGTGGCTCTTACCGCAGCAAACTACTCTTCTCTTCATGGCCGCTCACCCTCTACGTCGCCCCCCCACACCAAAGCAAAGCTTCTCCCCCTTACTGCGTATTGCCCGCCGGTTGCGTCCCCCTCCCTGCGTCCGTCCCCCTGTGCTATTCCCGTGTGCCGCTTGGCAGGCGGGCGTGGTGATCGTGGTGGCAGCGGGCAATGCGGGGCGGCCGCCCAGCGAGTGGAGCTACCGCACGCTGAGCAACTTCTCGCCTTACTACCTCACCGTGGGGGCCTGGTGCGTCCACTGCACTCTTAGGGGTGTGTGCATGTCCTGGTAGGGTCGGCGCTCCCAATTTCCCTTCGTTCCCACCCGCCCCCTCTCCCCTTCTCCATACACCCTGTCCCTTCTCCACTTCTCTGCATCCCTCACATTCCCTTATCTCCCCCATGTTCCCCCATGTCCGCCTGCCGCAGCTCCATAGGGCGGCGCTACACCACGGACGTCACGCTCAGCAGCGGCGTGACGGTGACGGGCGCGGGCATGGGCGGCAACAAGGACACGGCGGCCGGGCTGCCCATTATCCTCGGCCGCAACGGACTGCTGCCAAACCACGACAACATCGAGGTACCATCATCAACACACCACCCACCCACCTGAGGTACTCCCGCCTTTGAGTGGGTCGCCAGTACCTCCCCCCTCGTTTTTCCCCCTCCCAACCGTCCCCCCTCTGCCTCCTGTTCCCCACACTCCCCTCACTCCCCTTGCTCCCCTTCCTCGACCATTCCCCACCCCCAGGGCGACTACTGCTATCCGACTTCGCTGGACCCGAGCAGGGTGGCGGGCAAGATAGTAGTGTGCATCAACGGCAAGGCGCGTGTGTGGGAGAAGGTGCGCGAGGTGGTGGGCGCAGGCGGGCTGGCCATGGTGCTGGTGAACGACCCGCAGGGCGAGCCGTACCTGCGCGATAATTACGACTCGTCCATCCCCATTGTGCACCTCTCTGCCGCTGATGGCAGTAAGCTGCGGCGCGCCATGAAGGCCCTGAAAAAGTAAGATGGACGAGTCCGGCACAAGCCCACCATGTCTCCCTTCCCTTCCTCTCCCCCCCTCCCCGCATTCCACCTCCCCCACATTCCCCTCTCACTCTCACTCTATCCTTCACCCTCCATCCCCTCTCTCACTTCACCATCTTTTGCACGCTCAGTCTATCTTCTCCCATCCTCATCCCCTCTCTCGCGCGTTTCTCCCTTCCCCTCCCACGCCCGTGCCTTCCCCCCGGCCCAGCCCCACAGCGGTGTTCCCAGAGTCCTTCACCGTCGCCACGGTCCCCGAGGCACCCGTCATCGCCTCCTTCTCCTCCACAGGGCCCGTGCAAGTGCCCTCCATTACCCCCTCGCACGCGCTCCCCACCAACGACATCCTTAAACCGGACCTAGTCGCGCCAGGACTAAGTTTGTGGTCTGCTGCTGTCGGCAGCATGGACGACCCCGGGGTGGTGAGGTTCGGGCTGGCTTCGGGGACGTCCATGGCGACGCCGCACGTGGCGGGCGTGGCGGCGCTGCTGGTGCAGCGTAACCCCACGTGGAGTCCGGCGCAGGTGATGTCGGCCATGCTGACCAGTGCTGCCACCACCAACGACGCTGGCAAGCCCATCAAGCTCGAGAGCGGCGTGACCGCCACGCCGTGGGAGATGGGTGCGGGGATGATCAACCCGCCGGGGATGCTGGATCCTGGCTTGACCTACAACATGGACTCTCAGGATCTGCTGAATTTCCTCGCCGGCCAAAACGTATCGGCTGCGGTGAAACTGTTCAACGCTGGTCCGCTGAGTGCGATCCCAGCGTACAATCTCAACCGGCCGTCGATTTCCGTGTCTCGGCTGACGGGGACTGTGATGGTGGCTCGCACGGTTACGAATGTTGCCGGAGTGCCGTCGACATATAGAGCGACTGTCGTTGCGCCAACTGGTGTGAAGGTGGTTGTTACACCATCTTCCTTCACTATTGAGAAGGATGCGTCCATACCTTACACTGTAACGCTGTCTGTTACACGGTCATCTGCCGGACGGTTTGCATTTGGCAGCATTACATGGGTTGATGACTTGGGACACTCGGTGAGATCTGTGATTGCAGTGCAGCCACTGAAGGCACTGAGGAGAAAGTAGTGCTCTGCTGCAACATCTCCATGTATGGCAGCTCGCAAGGCTGTAAGTGTAGAATATTGTACTCTTGGTGAACTGAGAGACTCCTGTGTATTATTTAATGAGTGCATGTTAGCTACCACTGTTCTGTTTTATTTTTACTAAGATTTTCTTGAAAATGCATATAAATATTCCAATCTCATTGTGGTGCTTAGAAGTAGATAGAATCTGTACAGACGTGCAAGTTTGTGGTGTCACTCGAATCACTTCAATATAGTACAGTAAATACGCGCCACCCGGTTGTTGGTTGCTATCTTCTCAACGGCTGCACGGCCAGCACAGATCGAACAGCGTGGCCCAACTTATCAACCCACGTCAGACTGCCATAGGAAAATTTCGAGGACTGCTTGGTAACGGTGAACGTTACATTGAATGTAACGCTTTCGCCAATCCCAATGGCGAACGTCGCTGGTTTCACGGTCACCTTCACTCCCGAAGGAACCACCACTTTCGCCGTGTAGTTGGACGCTGCACTGGCGACGTTCGTGACTGTTCGCGAAACCGTCGCGGTCTTCGCTATTCGGGAAACTGAAATAAGTGGCCGGTTGAGATTAGCTGGGGAAGTCGGAGACAGCGTGTAGTTTCTGAATAAGGATTGCGTCAAGCCGTGATCTTGGCCGGCGAGGAAATTCAGCAGATCCTGAGCGTCCATGTTGTAGGTCAAGCCGGGATCCAGCATCCCCGGCGGGTTGATCATCCCCGCACCCATCTCCCACGGTGTGGCGGTCGCGCCGCTCTCGAGCTTGATGGGCTTGCCGGCGTCGTTGGTGGTGGTAGCGCTGGTCAGCATGGCCGACATCACCTGCGCCGGACTCCACGTGGGGTTACGCTGCACCAGCAGCGCCGCCACGCCCGCCACGTGCGGCGTCGCCATGGACGTCCCCGATAGTAGCCCGAAGGTCACCACGCCTGCGTTCTCCAGGCTCCCAGCAGCGGCCGACCAGAGGCTGAGACCCGGCGCGACTAGGTCCGGTTTAAGAATGTCATTAGTGGGGTAGGGGTGCATAGGCGAGTCTGCGGGGTCTGCGAGCGGGCCAGAGGAGGAGAAGGAGGCGATGACGGGGTGGCCCGGTAGCTGGCGTATGGTGAAAGCTCCAGGTATGCTGGCAGTAGCACTGTTGGGGGGAAGGGGGGGAGTGGCAGGTGGGAAGGGAGGAGAGGGGAGGATGGGTGGGGTGGGTTGAGAGAACGCCTTGGAGGTGGAACGTGGAAGGTGCGTGGGAGTGAAAGGGGTGAAAGGGGAAGTGTGGAGAGATACGGTTCGTTAGCAGAGTCGGCTTTTCATGACGTAACATTGCGAGCAACAGACAGCACGATGACTGCCCAGTGCGGCGTGGCGCGACACTTGGAAAACAAGCAAGCGCCAGCAGCAGCAGCAGCCGCACAGCAGGCAAGCCGCGCCACTCACTTGCGCGTCTTCTTCATGTACGTCAGCAGCGCGGCGCCATCCTTGGCCGTCAGATGCAGCACCGGCACGGGCGAGGGAATGTTGTCATACAAGTTTGAGTCGCCCTTGGGATCATTGATCAATATCATCCCCAGCCCACCGCATCGGCTCACTTCCTGCACCTTCTGCCAGATATATGCAGTGCCGCGCACGCACACCACTAGCTTGCCCGCGATCTTGGCCGGGTCTAAGCCCTCCTCAAAGCAGTACTTGCCCTGGGTTTTGGAAGACAGAGGAGACGGGGGACGGCGATGGGTGAGGGTGGAGTTGACGTTAGGGGAGCAAAAGAACCGGCGGGGGGGGGGGGAGAGGGGGGGTGCGGGGGTAGAAGGAAGAAAGAAAGAAAGGGATGGGAAGTACAGCAGGGAGCAGCAGGTGGCGTTCAGGGTGAAGTAAGATTACCTCGTAGGTCCCTCCTATTCTGGCAGTGAGGCCATCAACCAGCGGCAGCCCAGCAGCCGTGCGCTCATCCCCGCCCATGCTGGCCCCCACCAGGCTCTTCCTGTTCCCCATGGTCACAGCCGCACTGAACTGCCGGCCAATGGAGCTCGCCCCCACGGTGAGATAGAACGGCGAGAAGTTGCTCAGCGTGCGCCACGAAGACCACGCGGTAGGCGGCCGCCCGTCGTTCCCCGCCGCCATCACCATCACCACGCCCGCTCGCAGTGCATTCAAATAAGAGACATCGGTGAAGTAGTCCGTGTAGTCGTAGAGGCCCGCGAGCGAGATGGAGATCACATCCACACCGTCCAAAATGGCCTGCTCCACTGCAGCTTTGACGTCTGCTAGGGGAGCGGAGGCGGCCTGAGAGCTGCTGCGCCAGAGGACCTTGTAGATGGAGAGCAGGGCTCCCGGGGCCATGCCACTGGCTGCGCCGATCAGCTGCCCGGTCTTGGCTGTGATGTCCACGCCGCTGTTGCCCGCTGCCGCCCTGGGGGTGCCGGAATGGGGGAGAGGGTGGGAGGAGGTTAGGCAAATGGGTTTGGGGGTTGAGGGGAGGGAATTGGAATGGCACGGTTGACCTGACTGGAGCTGCTCCTGAAACTACCAACACACGATTGCCCCTGCACCGAGCCCGCATCCCCCCACTTACACACTCACGTAGCCCAGCTGCTCACGCCATGCAATTGCGGATACACCCTGGAACCGAGTGTCTTGTCTTGAGACACCACCAAGTGTGTGACTCACCCCACACAAAAGGAGCCGCACACCCGCGCGCGCGCGTGACTCACCCCGCACACCAGGAGCCGTGGTTGAAGGAATCGCGCGGCGAGAGGTAGTCCACTGTGAGGTCGACACTGCCGCCCTCCGCCTCGAACGCCGCGCGGATGGCCCGCGCGCCCACCACCTTGCCGCTGCACGCCTCAAAGTCCCCCGTCGTCTCACACGCGCCCGCAAAGGTTGAGGGCGCGGTCGGGGACGGCGCACCGGGCTGGGGAGGGGAAGGGGAGGGAGGAGATGGTGGGGGAGAAACGAGTGACGGGGGGAGAAAGGGTTGATGGTGGGCTTTCCCGCTTACGCCCTGTGCAGTAGAATCCCTTAGGCCTCATGCTATGCGCGCTGTGGCTAGATCCGCTACTTTGATGGCACAGGATGCGACTGCGCTGCTTCCCATTCCCCATCTCTTGGGAGTGTTGGACATCGCCCTGCCTCAGCCATCTCCCCCCTCCCCTTTCACTACCCCCTCCCCCCCTCGCCGCCCACCTGGCTCGCGAACGACGGATGCTCGGGCCATATGCCGCTGTCAATCACGCCTATCACCACCCCCTCCCCTCGGCTCGCCGCCCCTTCCGCCACCCCCGCGGCCCCCGCGGATCTCTCCCCCCAGGTGCCGCGGGACGCGTTCCAGAGCGAGGCGGGGAGTTTGAGGAAGGTGGGCGAGTGCGTGGTGGCGGGGTAGAGCCGCACGCTCGCGCGCACCCGCGCCACGGCGGGGTGCCGCTGCAGCCGCCGCACCTGCGCCGGGGATAGCCGCGCCGCGAAGCCGTTGCTTAAGTACCGGTAGCTGTGGAGGATTCTCGCGGGGGGCACGCCCGCGGACGCCGCGACGTTGCGTTGCTGGCGCTTCAGGAACGCCGCGAATTGCCGCGCCTTGGCGGAGCGCACGAGTGCCTTCCCCTTCCCCCGCCACTTTCCCCGTTGGCGCTCCCACTCCTTGCGGATGCGACCGCCGAGCGCGCCGCGAACGCGGTCTGCGGCGGATTGCAGCGCGGAGAAGGCGGACTGGGCGGCGGAAGCAAGGCGGGGGGAGGGCGGGGGGGGTGCAGTGGCGGGGAAACCCGCGAAGCCTCCGCGGTAGGCGAGGACGGGGGGCGCGGAGCGGAGAGAAACAATGTACACCGTGTTGGAGACCGATCGGTCGGCTGGGGGCGGGGATGGCGGAAGGAACCGGCGTGGGGCGAAGGTGGGGGTGGGGGAGAAGGGGATTGGGGCAAAAATTAAACGGGGAGAAGGTGAAGAAAGTGTAGGACCGCCAGGTGTAAGCGGACGGAGGGGGAAGGCGAATGATTGATTGGGGGAGGGCGGAGCAGGGGGCCGGGGGTGAAGGATGTGGGGGATGGGAAAGGGTGACTAGTTCCTTACGTTGACTGCCAAACGTGCCGGTGGCGCGGTGGAAGCAGCAGCAGGGCAGCAGCAGGAGCACCAGCAGCAGCTGCAGCACTACCGCGAGGATGCGCCTAATCATCGCTTCCGCGGCGCTGCCTCTTCGCCCCCGTTGCCGTTGCTAATACTAGGGAAAGGGAAGCGTTTACTAAGATCGGCGTTCGCAGCTTCGTCAGGGTCGATAGATGGCGACGCTATGCGACGTCAAGACGAGGACGCGCTGACGACTCCCGCTGTAACTCCGGGTTTCTCCTGCAGGTTACTAGGCGCTACTACTATACTAATAGACTACTATGGTACTTAGCGGCGCGGCGTAATACGCGTTCGTGACAGTATACCGTCGGCGGATTCACACGATTCGCGGAAAGAAGACGCGTGCGCCTTGGTGCGCTGCTATGACTAGTAACGCAACACGCCGAGAGGAAATGAGCGGGCTCCGCGAGGCGCTGATAACCTCCGGCTACGAAGAGCAGCCTACTAAGAATATTACACGACGCACAAGGCACAGCAGGCTGGACGAGTGCAAAAAGCGTTACTCTGTCGCCCATGCCGTGTGAAGACAGGGGGTGGAGACTCGCCTAGTACATAGTCAGTAGGAAGGGAAACGGAACTGGTGGATATCAACAGGCGCAACGCCGACAGCGTCAAGAGCGCACTACTAGCAAGCGCAGTGCCTGAGGACGCGAGCTACATGGACTACACATGACGTCCAGTGAACCGCCCATTCGTCAGAGGCCCCCATGCACTCGTCAGTCCGACTGCCACGGATATGCAGGCAACGGCCCGTCATGGACTGGCCCAATTTTGGGCGGCTCAACCACTTGCGACACTGCTGGGAGCGAACATGCAGAAGGAACAATTGTAGGTTGACTCGGAAGCAGGGTGCGATTATGCGACAGTTACCGGGGTACACGGGAGAAACAACGCATGTCTTCCATGTTCAATGGGTCCTGCCAAACGGGTAACCATGGTCCTACTTTCAGGCCCAACTTGCCAGCGATTTGAAAGCGTCCGTTACTGGAGTAACCGGCCGAAAAAACCCTGGGCCTCTTTCAGAACTCTGGTGTACTGCACAAATGACGGCCGCGAAACGAATCTGATTGGAGACTGCACGTCTGGATCAAATGCACGGCCTAGAATTCTTTTGGGCAATCCCTTTGCATGATGCTATGGTTCTAACAGAAAGATATGCCTCCGCATTGCAGAATCCTCTCTCCTTTTGTCCCCTACCCCTCGTCCTCACCTACTGGTGTCCGAGGCCACAAGTCTCTCCGAACTCTAAATTGTGAGCGTCGGTAGTGAAAATCGAAACTCATATTTGCCTTGGTGGGAGCTTGTTCCAGATTCGAGAAGGCAGTCATTCATTAACAGCGATTTCTCTTTTGTGGTGGTCCGCGCCCTTTGACCGGAACTGACCGCTTCTCTTCCATTGTCTCCCATTACAGGTGTAACCCTTTCATCTTGCTTCTTGCAACTTCATCCCAGTTCAAGTGCGCTACCTCAAAGCGAGTGCCTGTGCCACATTGTCCATATATTGCATATTCGCCACCGTTCAAATTACAAGATTCGTCTCACAGTAAAGGCCTGGTGGCGAAGCTGGTGTGGCGAGCGGTTACTCTTAGCGCAGTAAAATGCCCTGATACTCGCATGGTTGCGAGTTTGGGACGATTGTCACATTCGGGCGGCTGCACCATCATTGAACATTAACCCAAAAACCTCTCAATGCGATGACTTTACACTCAAGAAAGTCGAAAGCGATGACTGTGCACCCTGAACGGGGTAGTACTGTAATACGCCTGCATGAGGTTACAGTACTGTAATGATACTGTGCGGCACCACACTTTCGGTGTTTCAAGAGATTTTACTGACAGGCCGCGTGTTGCATGCATGGTGGGGTGGCTAGGGGAGACTGCGATTGGAGCTACAGTAAACTCTTCCATTGAAACACCAGTGCCGGCGGTGAGAGTTCTGGCAGGATTGTAGACAACCATTGGAAGGGAAGGTGCATGGGGGGGAGGAGGGAGCGTCGACCATGTACGTCTACAGTGATTTTCCGGCTGCCTCGTTTGAACACCGACGAACCGTTTTTCTTCTTCTTCTTCTTTTCTTTTTCTTTCTTTCTTTTTTCTTCTTCTTCTTTGGGAATGACAGCACGCCACCACCCCACGGTCGTGTGCTGGTTTGGAGGACCTGGCCAGATTGCTTAAATTGGTTGGTGTAGCTTGATGTTTAGTGGCATACACCAGGTGTCAAGGAGTCCCGGAAAATTGACCGGGCCCACCCCCCAACATGCGCCCATCCGCCACCAATCACGGGCAACGGCCCTTTCACCTGATGGCCCACGCACCGGGGTTTTATGGCACCTGCGACACGGAGGCGTCGAAGGTGTCCATGCAAAGGAGCTCGCTAAAGCACAAGTGTCCACTTAATGGCACATTCTCCCGTGACGAAGACTGACGAAAAACGTGCGCGCATTACGCCCACGCGGTTCGTCAAAATCGGGGCTTAACGGTGCGCACCCGGTGTACTTCAGCTTGCGTCAGCTTTGCTGAAGTTTACAGCAGCACGCACGAGAGCGGAAATCCCGAACCAAGCTCAGCAAAAGATATCTAGGGCAGTGAGGCCCCGTTCCCGAATCCAAATCATCTGAACTTGCATCATTGAGACGCACAGAAGCGAACTACGTGTCACGGATGACCAATGGCAACTGTACTTATGTAATGCATTCTTAGATGCAAGACGAACCATGTAGTGAAGTACGGGCCTTAGTGAAATGAAACGGAATCGGAGGGCCGGACAGACTGAGGGAAGTTTTTATTTCGAGTCATTCCGTCCTGATGCAAAATAGAATGTTGGAGAACCAATAACATGCCTTCAAATTCCAACAATCCCCAGGTGATTAGTTCTCCAGCACTCTCGGATGACACCAGGATACAATGACACCAGCGCCTAAGTGGCATGGGACTCCCTGAGTTGCTGCGGGATGGTGCACACGCAGCGCCTTGTTTGAGGGGGTGGGGCGTTTTACAGGAAACCGGAGGCACATGGAACAGGTGGGAGGGAGGAGCAGCAGTGCGTCGACCATGTGAGCAGAGCAGCACCACAACAACCGGAGCAGGCACGAGGTAGTGGAGGAGCTGGTTGGTGGCTGAATGGGTGGTGGTGGTGACTCAGCTTGCGGGCGGGCCACTGCTGCAGGCAGGTCAAGCTGTTGATTCTTTGCCGTTGGCTTATGCGGTGAAGATCTTGAAAACTTCACGGTGTGGCACCTCAAATCTTTCAGCAGCCGCAATTGTTTGCCCCCGTGCCTCTCGCTCAGGGATTCCATTGGGGAATATACTCAAAGGATTTTTCCATCCCTTACCAAGCGATACTGTACTGCTCTCACGTAAGCTCGGCTCGGCTCGGTTCCGGACCTTTCTGACAGATTCGCCTCGGCTTCTCCAGGCCTTCTAGTTTGACCTTCGGGAGTTCTCCGGGCCTCGCTTCGTCACTTCGACACCCTTCGATTTCCTTCTCTAACCTTTACATCTCATAGCAAAACTAGCCCTGGTGTTCCTATGTCTTGGCTTGCCTTTCCTTGTATCGGCATTGAGTTATCCAACACTTCGTTATTCATTTCCGCGCCACTCTGCTTGTTCATTCATAACACCTGGTATTGAGAGCCACTTTCCTCGCTCACCCGCTTTCCTGCGTTGATTTTTGGGTTGCGTAGCAACCTTTTACAATCTGTCGGTGGACCGATTTCGGACGACTATATTTAATCGGCCTAGTAACCCGAGCTACATATTTTGTCGGGTCTAATGTTTCGCTCACTCTCAGGACACCTTTTTTTTTTCCCATCTAAAATTGGTTATTTATAATACGAATGTTTTCGTTCTCCAGTGGAGAATCTCTACGTATTGTTTGTTTGTTGATTCATTTTACCGTAACTCAGAAACCTAGCGTCTCAAAGTTCTTTCTTACTACCGTAATCTATGTTTCCCAGTTATTATGCGGTCGATAATGCAGACGACATAATAATTGAGCCACATAGAGTTTTGTGACATTTTTCTAAGCTTTCTAAGAATGATGAGAGAGGCTCGAATCATTCGCCGTCGATAATTACGGCGGAGAACAATAGGAACCACAATAGGAGAACATCATCACCACATTCAAAGCACGTAGACATAGCGCAACTTACCAACACACATACCATGCACATAACTACTCGGGTCAACAACAATACAGTACAACAAAACGATCGCGAATGCAGTGAAACAATAGAGATTGACTTGCACGTTTTATGAAGAAGCTCCCAAACCGGCAAAGACAATTGCAAATTGTATGATGCACAAGGCATAGTCGGCATCGTTCTCCTGCACACATGCACAATACATAACAATGTACAACACGTGCTAACAAACAAATAACGGTACAATAGTGAGTGCAAAGAAAGAAATGCATCAATGCTTTCATGCTACAATAGAGATTGATATGCACGGAGTGAGAAGCAATTCCTCAAACCGGCAACGACAAACGCAAATTGTGTGATGCACTAGGCATAGTCAGCATCCTTCCCCTGCAAGCACAACACAACGCAACACCGAGCAACACAAGCCAACAAACTGATATGCATTGTCAACCAATGGTACCATGCACACGCACATACACAAGCAACACGACATGAAAAATCAGGACACAAAACAACAACGCAAATGCACATCAGTCAAGCACGAATACATAATGGGTAGCACGAAAACATGACCAAAAGTCAACTTCAAATATCTATCAATCAAATGGTGCCAACAGGATTGACCGGATTTGGAGTGAGAAGATTTGGAACGTAATGACTTGAACTTCGACGACTTGGAATGTTCTTGGAATGTGGCGACCATGAACATGATGACATGACTGGAGAGGATAACAGGGGGAGAAGATAAGAGGGAAGAGCTTGACCCACTAGCAGCAACAGAGAATCTAGAGCGATTAAGTGGGAAGACAAAGGGGGAGAAAGAAAGGGGGGACGACAAAGGGGGAGGAACGGAGGGGGGACAGCAAAGGGGGAGGAACGGAGGGGGGACAGCAAAGGGGGAGGAACGGAGAGGGGACGACAAAGGCGGATAATGGGAGGGGGGACGACAAAGGGGGGGGGAACGGAGGGGGGACGACAAAGGGGGAGGAAAGGAGGGGGGACGGCAAAAGGGGAGGAACGGAGGGGGGACGGCCAAGGGGGAGGGACGGAGGGGGGACTACAAAGGGGGAGGGACGGAGGGGGGACTACAAAGGGGGAGGGACGGAGGGGGACGACCAAGGGGGAGGGGCGGAGGGGGGACGACAAAAAGGGGAGGGGCGGAGGGGGGACGACAAAAGGGGGGGAACGGAGGGGGGACGACAAAGGGAGGAGGAACGGAGGGGGGACGACAAAGGGGGAGGAACGGAGGGGGGACGACAAGGGGGGAGGGATGGAGGGACGGCAAAAGGGGGGGGAACGGAGGGGGGACTACAAAGGGGGAGGTACGGTAGGGGGACGACTAAGGGGGAGGGGCGGAGGGGGGACGACAAAGGGAGGGGGAACGGAGGGAGGACGACAAAGGGAGGAGGAACGGAGGGGGGACGGCAAAGGGGGAGGAACGGAGGGGGACGACAAAGGGAGGGGAACGGAGGGGGGACGGCAAAAAGGGAGGAACGAGGGGGGACGCCCAAGGGGGAGGGACGGAGGGGGGACTATAAAGGGGGAGGGACGGAGGGGGGACGACTAAGGGGGAGGGTCGGAGGGGGAACGTCAAAGGGGGAGGGGCTGAGGGGGGACGACGAAGGGGGGGGAAGAGAGGGGGACGGCCAAGGGGGAGGAACGGAGGGGGACGGCCAAGGGGGAGGAACGGAGGGGGGACGACAAAGGGGGAGGGATCGAGGGGGGACGACTAAGGGGGAGGGGCGGAGGGGGGACGACAAAAGAGGCATGGGCGGAGGGGGACGACAAAGGGGGGGAACGGAGGGGGGACGACACAGGGGGGAAAGGAGGGGGGACGACAAAGGGGAGGAAAGGAGGGGGGACGGCAAAAGGGGAGAAACGGAGGGGGACGGCCAAGGGGGAGGGACGGAGGGGGGACTACAAAGGGGGAGGGACGGAGGGGGGACGACAAAGGGGGGGGACGGAAGGGGGACGGCAAAGGGGGAGGGGAGGAGGGGGGACGAAAAAAGGGGGGGAACGGAGGGGGGACGAGAAAGGGAGGCGGAACGGAGGGGGGACGACAAAGGGGGAGGAAAAGAGGGGGGACGACAAGGGGGAGGGATGGAGGAGGGACGGCAAAGGGGGGGAACGGAGGGGGGACGGCAAAATGGGGGGAATGGAGGGGGGACGGCAAAGGGGGAGGAACGCAGGGGGGACGACAAAGGGGGAGGAACGGAGGGGGGACGGCAAAAGGGGAGGAACGGAGGGGGGGCGGCAAAGGGGGAGGAACGGAGGGGGGACAGCAAAGGGGGAGGAACGGAGTTGGGACGACAGAGGGGGAGGAACGGGGGGACTAGAGCTCACCTGCAGTGCTGTCGCACGTTAGGCGCGAGTGCGTTAGGCGCCAGTGCGAAACGGACCAGCGCGAAAAGCGTCAGCACGTGACGCGCCAGCGTGCAAGGCGCCAGTGTAAACGAAACGCGCGGCGCCTTGCGCGCCGCCGCGAATTGCGCCTGCGCGAAATGCACCAGTGCGCAAGGCGCCAGCGCGTAAGGCACCAGCGTGCAAGGCGCCAGCGCGAAACGAGTTACGGGCCCCGCGGCAGCAACATGCAACCAGGCGGCAACTGCTATAGCCTAGGTGGCAGTTAGGCATGGTTAGGGAAAAGAGCTAGTTTCGAGCTAGGACTAGGTATGAGCAAGGAACTAAGTGTGAACTAGGACTACGGTAGGTGGGAGCAAGGATTAGGTGTGAGCAAGTACTAGGCGTGAGCAGGGAGGGACTATCTCTACGAGCAAGAACAAGGCACGAACAACAAGAAGCACCAACAAACCCTAGCAGTGGTGTATTCGCTCTGCCCCAGAAAGCTAACCGAGTACAGGCCAGCACAATTTCTCGCTGTGCCATTCTCCACTTTTAAACAGGTCAGCACAGTTACTACTCCAATACAGCAATACATAACTTATTTTATGTAAAACTACATTATTGCTATAGTTTGTAGTATTACACGTTTAAATTATATTCACTTACAAAATCACTTTTCTAGTATTGTCTCACAAACTTTCTAGTGCACAGCCCCAGTGATTTAAAAAAAAAAAATAAAAAAAAAATTAAGAGGGGGTGGGGGGGGGGGGGGGGGGGGGGGAATGCGAATTCAAGTTGTGTGAGGAAAAATGTCTGAGCTAATCTCTCGAAGCTTAAATGCACTTTCGAGCAAAGCCTTCAACTCTGCCAAATGCGCCTTGCTCCGACTTGCAGCCAGCAGGTCGTCGACGTAGACGCGCAAGTAGCGCTTGCCACCATGCTTATCCTTGTGGAAGTAGAAGGCTTCATCGACCTGACTCTTTGACCAGCCTCCACTCTGCAGAACTCCATCGATTTCTTCGTACCACAGCTTTGGACTATGCTTGAGTCTCTAGAGACTCTTCTTCACCAGGCTAACTCTGCAGTGCCGTCGTCGTAGTACTTCAGCTGCTTCATGTAGAGAGGATGATCAATGGGTGCATTTAGAAAGGCATTTGTCATGTCCAGCTGCATCAGCTCCCAGTCAAATGCCGCAGCAATCAGCAGCTGCAGAAGAGCAGTTACACAGCTGTCGACGGAAGCAGTTACATAGCTAGTCGTAGTTCGGATAAGGCAACTGTGCAAACCCCTGAACGACGAGATGTCCTTTCTCTCCCTCTGGTCCCACAGAGTTTGCATCTCCTCCATTGCTGCCTTCATTGCAGGGCCCTTCCAACACTTCAGAGCGACATGGACGGGCATCTTCGATATGTCCCAGCGACGTCCCGGATCTCCGACACAATCTTCTGCCAATTTAAGCTCCTTGAGTGCTACGTCTTCATCTCTACCGTCGAGGATGTTCATCGAGAACGCCGTCAAAGCCATATGGTAATGAACATGTGGAACACCCTTGTTGGATCGCGTCGATCGCCACAGAGTTTGATGCTCTTCGGGCAATTCTTTTGCAGACTGCTCTTCTGCCAATGTCTCCTTTGCAGACTGCTCCCTTGCAGACACCTCTTCCGCCGGGACTTCGTCTGCAGCACTCTTCTGCCGCTCTTCCATGCGTCGTTCACTTGGGATGACACCAAGAGGCACCTCACTTCCCTCCTCACCAGAGGAGGACGCAGGAGAAGCGGGCGAACTTGGTGATGTAGAGGGCACATTAGGCTCTGCTGTCACAGGATCGAATGTGTCGAGGAAAGGTTGCACTATCGATCAGTACAAGGCGCTTTTATACTTCCAGAATACATCAGGTAACCAGGTTTATCTTATCCTAAGGGAATAGACCCTTCTAGAAGATAGAATCACCCTGCGTATAGCCACGCGAGGCTATTGGCTTTAAGAGATTACGACAGGATTACGCTAGATAGCGTGTCTAGAACATTCCATGCTTGGTCGGTGATATAATTATAATAAGGGAAGAAACCAAAGGATAATGGAAAATGGGGAATAGGAGGCAAAAGGAGGTGAGATAAAAAGAGGAATGAAATGAAGATGAAATATGGAAAAGGCCAAGTGGTGTAACGGAGTCGTACTCTCACACTTCCCCCCCTCAAAGCTGGGTGGTAGAAGTAACACCCTGCTTGACAAGGTAGTCATGCAGAGGACGACGGGCGTTACCCATGTCGGTCTCAGAGACCCAGCTGTCCTCAGAAGGATCATAACCCTTCCAACGGATGAGAAGCTCCACGGTGCCATTCCGACGACGGCGGTGTGCGAGCACGGACTCGACCTCGTACTCGGGTTCGTTCTGGACGAGGACGGGCGGCGGCGGCGGCGGCTGGCGTCCCACGAAGATCGTGTTAGGATCTCGATAGGGCTTCAGAAGTTGGACATGGAAGGCGTTATGAATCTTCCAGGTAGCTGGCAGGCGTAAGCGGAAGGTAACAGGAGTGACCTGTGCTTCAACGAGAAAAGGCCCGCAGAAGCGAGGTCGAAGTTTAGATGGGAGATGGCTGATGTCCAGGTTGCGGGTGTCAAGAAGCACCTGGTCTCCCACCGTGATGTTGTGGTCGTTGCGATGGCGATCGGCCTGGCGCTTTTGTTGCTGTTGAATGTCGAGGAGGCGCTTATGGGTCCGATCCCAAAGCTGATGCATGGTTGTGATGAAATCATGTGCAGGTTGTACCGTAGCGGATGTTGTCGGTTTCTGTGGTGTGAGTGGGTGGCGTCCGTAGCAGAGGAAGAACGGCGTCTGTCCAGTAGCGGCATGTGTGGCATTGTTGTAAGCAAACTCGAGTACGGGCAGGTGCAAGTCCCATTTGGAGATGTCGTCCTTGCAGGCTGCTCGGAGGAGTTGCTCAACAATTTGGTTGAGGCGCTCGGTCTGTCCGTCTGTCTGCGGATGGTATGCGGAGGACATGGCGAGTTTGGTGCCGAGCAGAGACATAAGTTCCTTCCAGAACTTGCTAGTGAACTTGGGGTCTCGGTCGGAGATGAGTGTAGTTGGGATGCCATGCTGTGAGATGATGTGACGAACGAAGAGCTGTGCTGTCTCCTCGGTGCGTGCCGTCGTGTGTGTCGGGATGAAGTGTCCCATTTTGGAGAACTTGTCAATGACGACAAGGATGGCGTCATGACCGCTGGAGGTAGGTGGTAACCCGGTGATGAAGTCCAGGCTAACCACTTGCCATGGTTGTTCTGGGACAGGAAGAGGCTGCAGTAGTCCCGCCTTTTTCTGCTTGCTGCTCTTCATCCGCTGACATGTATCACACGAGGTGACAAATTTCTGGACGTCGTCTGCCATATGGGGCCAGTAGTAGTGTTTGGCGATACCGGTGAGCGTCTTGTTGCTACCGAAGTGTCCGGCGTAGAGGACGTCGTGATATTCTTCGAGTAGTAACTGGCGCAAAGGAGGGTAATTGGGTACCCAGATTTTTGTTGATCCTTTCCGGTACGCGATGTCACTGTCCCACTGTAGCAGGTGTCGTTTTTCTGCCAAGGAAGTTTCGGGGTCGATGGCGTACCCGTGGGTGAAGAGTCCCTTGAGTAGTGGATTCATCCCTTCGACCTGAATCGCGGCAACGTGTGCAGGCCGGCTGAGCGCGTCTGCTTTGTTCTTGTGGCCGGGCTTGTACACGATGTCGTAGTGGAAGTGTGTCTCGAGGAAGTCGATCCACCGGACCTGCCGCCTGGAAAGGTTGGGTTGTGTCTTCAAATATTTCAGGCTGCAGTGGTCGGTGTAGACGGTTGTTCTGCGTCCTTCGAGATAACATCTCCACGCTTTGAAGGCGATGACAATGGCAAGGGCCTCTTTGTCGTGTATCGGGTAGTTGAGTTCTGCCCCGTGCAGTTTCTTGCTGAGGTAGGCAATTGGTTGCAGTCCATTCCCCTGGTCTTGCATCAAGACTGCTCCCACTGCCTGGTCGCTGGCGTCAGCTTCGATTACGTAGTCGCGTTCGGGATCTGGCAAGATGAGTACCGGTGCAGACGTTAGTGCTTGTTTCAGCTGCTCCACGGCTTCCTGGTGCTTCGTCTCCCATTTGTAGGGCGTGTTCTTCTTCAGCAGATTCGTGAGTGGGGCCGCGAGTTTCGCATACTGTGGCACGAACCTGTTGTAGTAATTAGCGAAGCCTAGGAACTGCTGCAACTCCTTCACGTTCTCGGGTGTCTTCCACGTACGTACGGCTTCGACTTTCTTGGGGTCGACGTGAACTCCTTGAGCGCTCACCAAGTGTCCTAGAAATTGGACTTTCTCCAGGGCGAATTCGCTCTTGGACAGTTTGACGTAGAATCGTTCTCGTCGAAGAATTTCGAAGACGCGTCGCAGGTGTTCGACGTGCTGCTTCATGTCGCGCGAGTAGATGAGGATGTCGTCCAGGTACACCACCACACATTTGTCCAGAAGTGGTCGTAGAATGTGGTTCATTTCGGCTTGGAACGTTGCCGGCGCGTTGGTGAGTCCGAACGGCATGACCAAATACTCGTACGATCCGTACCGAGTTCGGAAAGCAGTTTTGTGGATAGAGTTGTCCGCCATCCGTATCTGCCAGTATCCGGACCGCAGATCCAGTTTGGAAAATACCGTAGCTCCCCGAAGCTGGTCAAGCAGGTCATCGATTCGTGGTATCGGATATTTATTCTTGATGGTCTGCTTGTTAAGAGCTCGGTAGTCGATGCACATGCGCAGGCTTCCGTCCGGTTTCGGGGTGAAGAGTACTGGGGCACCGTACGGCGAAGTAGATGGCCGGATGAGTCCTTTGGCTAGAAGATACTCGATCTGTTTTTTCATGTCAGTCAGCTCCGTAGGGCTGAGCCGATATGGTGCTCGGAAGGTCGGCTTCGAACCCGGTTCCTCCACGATCTCGTGTTGATGCGTTCGGTATGGCGGTAGCTCGTTCGGAAGATCGTCAGGAAGAATGTCTTGGAACTCCTTCAATAATTCCTTGATTGTTTCTGGAGTTTCCGAGGCTTTCTCTCCGTCATTCTCCACCTCTGTTGCTATCGCCAGGAACCCGGTGTCGGTCCGCTTCACATCCTTCTCGAATCGTGCGAGTGTCTCCACTGGGATATCTCCTGTATCGTCCCAGTTGGGTAGCTGTACTCTCCGTCCATTGTTGTAGATGCTTGCGGTTCGGTTCACCCAGTTGATCTCGGGGTTGAATCTTTTCAGGAAGTCTCGCCCGAAGATCAAGTCAAGCCCTTTGATGTTGGTGATGGGGAGTGCAGGTCTCCAGCGCAGTGGTCCGATTTGTAGATGTAGCACTGCTTCGCCGTGTACTGGTAACTTGCTGCCATCCAC